GTCAGAAGAAGAAAGTAGCATGTCGCAATTTTAGAAAATCCTAATTTATTTAATATTTGCATTGCAAAATGTACGATTCGCGTATTAATCGAAGAGAAAAAGGGGATGAATGGAAACAAATTTTATAAAGAATTGTGCAGGTTAATCGAGTATTAATGAGAGGAATTGGTTGTTCAGAACTGTAATGACAGTGTCTCTTTAATTTATGATATACTCGGAGTTTTGAATATTTGAAAAGGAAGCGTATGTGACACGCTTTTGCAATCACAGACACGTAAGCTGTTTATGAAGGAAAAGTTAGTTATTTAGGATAATACATCTGGTTTTTGGCTATGGCATGAGAACTTGGCAAGATGTTGATGATCTTCGTATAGGAGAGGTTAGGTTTGACATTAGGATTCTTGGGGGTCTATCACACATACGTAGCCGACGAAGAGTGCATCTGATTTTTGGCTATGGCATGAGAACTTGGCAGGATGTTGACGATCTTCGGATAGGGGAGGTTAGGTTTGACATTAGGATTCTTAGGGGGCTATCACACTTGCGTAGTCGACGAAGAGTGCACGCTGTCGATCAGCGAACTTTCCTGCGAAAAGGTTACCTGTCCCAAGACTGACCCAGTGTTTTGTTACAGAATGGAAACGTTCCAAGAAGCCGGCGTGCAAATGTTGAAAGAGTTCAGGGCGCTTCTTCAGCATTCTCCGCTGCCACTTCCGGGGACGCGACTTCTTCAACTGCTGGCGCTGAACATGTTCGCGATCGAGTCGACGCAGCTGAAAGGTGAGTATCTGATATTTCTTTCTCGCATGTTTATTTGATCTCCTACCGTTTTGCTCTTCTCCGTCACGGATTCGCGAAACGTGACGTGGAAATTGGAAGACGAAATTTTCCAGCGCCGGCGCCAAAGATCCCGTCGAAAGTTCGCAATTCGCGACTATTATCGCGTGGAATTATTCATGCAGGGGTTACGTGTGAATTATGTACGGATGGAATCGGTTTGCCCGTTCGCCACTCGAATTTCGATGAATTTCTGCCGCGGGTTGCACGGAATTTCTCAAGAATCCCTCGCAATTGTTACTCGGCTTTTGCGAATTCGATTCACTTGGCTCGGGGTGGCGGATGGGTTACAAAATTTGGTGTTAATAGGGTTCCTTTAACCGTATTGGGTCTGTTGAAAAGTGGAATCCAAGACTCGAAGGGTTCATGGTCAGAATTTTATAAGTATAATATCAGTTTAGGTTCTTGAAATTCTTATGAAAGAAGCTGATGCAGGAACTTTAATTTGAATCGATAAAGTACGAAATTTAGGTTCTTCTAGAATTATATTTATATTTATTAATAAATTTAATTACTCAGAAGGAAAGTTCATAATTGTTTCAATGAAAAATTTTATATAACTGTTTAAAATAATTATTTTCTACGTCCTTAAGACAGTCCTCAGTGTTAGTAATGTAAAGTAGGGGTTGATTTTAAAATATTAATCAAAGTAGTTGGTTTTAGGGTATAGGTTGATGAGTTTAAAAATTGAAGTTTGTAAGAGTACGTACACATGATGTACTTGGGAAATAGGACATACATAATAATTTATTATCAGAGGTATATAATTTACATATATGACGATAACTATTTTTCTGTCTTGATAAAAATTGAAATCCCAATCCCCAATTTTCCCAAAAGTAGTTGAACATCTTCAAATATTATATATCTATATACCATATATCTTCGAATGTCATATATTGAATATCTTCGAATATATTCAGCTATCTTTTTGCCAAAAGTAGTTCAATATCTATATTTGATAGTGCTAGAACAGAAATATGTTCAAACCCAAGTTATTAGCTCATTCCCAAATTAATCTCATCCAGTTATCTCTTAAACTACCTGCATTTCGATAGTGCAAGTGCCCATCAGCACGATTCAATAACTTCGTGTCAGGACATAGATAATAATTTATTAACACAGGAATATAATTTACATACGTGATGATAACTATGTTTCCCTCTCGATAAAAATTAAAATCAATTTTCCAAAAGTAGCTGAATACCTTCGGTATCTTTGATAGTGTTAGAAAAAAAATATCTCCAAACCCGTTATTAGTTCATTCCCAAATTAATCTCATCCAGTTATCTCTTAAACTACCTGCATTTCGATAGTGCAAGTACCCATCAGCACGATTCAATAACTTCGTGTCAGGACATAGATAATAATTTATTAACACAGGAATATAATTTACATACGTGATGATAACTATGTTTCCCTCTCGATAAAAATTAAAATCAATTTTCCAAAAGTAGCTGAATACCTTCGGTATCTTTGATAGTGTTAGAAAAAAAATATCTCCAAACCCGTTATTAGTTCATTCCCAAATTAATCTCATTGAATCATCTCTTAAACGACCCGCATTTCGATAACTCAAGTACCCATCAGTACGATTCAGTAACTTCGTATCAGCACGACTCTACCGCAAGCGCAATTTATTTTTCCATACTCTTGCCTAAACGACGATTACACGCCAGAGTATCATCCACGGGAACTCTTCCCTGTCTTCATCCCGCGGCAACATTTGCCTTTTAATTACAAGCAGAAAAATCGCACTGGTTCCCCGAATCGCAGGTACTAGTCTACAGCCTGCAGGGAACGTTCCCAGAATCGTTATCGTAGCTGACGAATAGGCATAGATTCCCACGACTTATCCCGAAGCACGGGCAATCGTATCCTCTTGCACGATAACGACCTGGCTAAGCGGCCACGTCCACTTCCAATGCAAATGAAGAAAATCGTAATCCGAATAGAGAAACATGGAAGAACCGCGGTACCGAGAAACACCCGGTCTCGTCATCGCTCTTAATCCTCCTCGAAGTCTCGCATCTCCGGTCATTCCAATCACTTGGCTAACGGGTTCGTAAATCGAAATACCACGCCGAATGGCCGCCGTTCTCCAAACATCCTCTCCTCCGCCGAAAGTAAGTACTTCTCACGTCGTTAGCGTGCACACCGGTGCCAACCAGCTGCCTGGTACCCGCGGTCCCTATCCGTAGTCTCGGGCCACCTCAGCGTGTGGTACCTGGGAAATTCCTCGGACACTGGAGGAAAAGTGAGGTTAGAGGGGAAAATGGACGCAGACGTTGCAAGATGGTCGCGTGTTGCCGTGATAGATCGATAGATGGCGCTGGCTCGCGCTTCTTCCCGAGGTGGATAGGCCAGAGTGGCTGGAAGGCGGAGAAGAAAGTTGTTACGACAACGTTGTAACCGGCACTTTAGATCGAATCTCTTTCACGGCCACGGCCGACTCTCGTTATTTAACGTTGCTACGTAGCCTGGTCCCGGCTCCGTGTCCGTGGCTTTATTGTTTCACGTCGTTCTGTCGGCGCTTTGCAGCGGCCAACAGCCGCGATAAATCAGAATAACGACTACGCCTGCTGCCAAAACCCATTCGAATTCAATCCGACGTATCGTCCCCGGGGATCTCCTCGTTTACAGACGCTGCGTCGATACAAACTGCTCTTTCGTCTCGTCTCTCCTCAGCACCCCGATGCCTCTTTATCGAATCGGAGCATCGGGCATGGATTTGCCCTTGGCTCCTTTTACCTTCGTCTCGCGAATTACCTCGGTTCCTTGCGAATTAAGCGAGTCTTGTTTTGGCAACGTTTGGCATTTGGCGTTTTCAGGGTGTCAAGGGTGATTCGAGTACCATTTATGGCGAGGATGTTAGGGAGATTGGTACTAGGAATTGCAAGCTTATTTCTATGTCGTCGACACTTGATTCTTAAGCTTTGCGAGTATCGATTTCCATTCGTTTTTGGGAAAAATCACTTTTCCCGTGTGATTTTCGAGTAGTTCGAATGGTTTCTCTAAAATACAATTGAGGTAGTTGGGGTAGCTTTGTGTTCATTGAAAAGGAGACTCAAAGTGTTTAATGGATTGAACGTATGTTTCAAAATGTTGCATATTTTTAATATCACGTACTTTTCAAAACGTGCCCTAAAGATGGAGCAATAATCATCCAGTTCCAGAATTAATTGAGTCTAAACTACTTTACTTCATAACAATTGTGAACATCGAAATTTTCAATTGATACAGAAGCTGTATCAATAATTATATTTTCTCGTCCAGAAAATTCCATAGAAAGGTCGTTTTCGCTACTGAAAAAGTCGATAGCTCTTTGTTATTCCAGGACGAAACGACACCGAAAATAATAGATTCGTCGAAAAAGCAGCGCCACTGCCGAGGATCGGAATCGTTCGAAAAATATGTTTCTCGATAATTTACAGAGGTCCGCTGTTCCTTTCATTCAGAGGCGTGTACCCGGCGCGTTTCCTTCGTTGGTATCGTACTTTATTTCGAATATTATTTACGGCCTGGAAGCTTCCCGAGCCTCCAATCACTTAAAAATTAATCACTTAAAAATTCGGAGGGGCGTCGTGGGCGTGAAAGGGCCGCCTGCCATTTCTGTTCGGATGTGTTATTTATACTCGTCCAAAACGCGCGGCGTTCGTAAATTTCTACGGCAACGCGTCTGGTTTACGACTCAATACCCAGAAGAAATTCTCGGCGACGTAAAGCCGAAAGAGGGATGAACGCGAGCCAAGCGGCCGCCATTTTTTATCCTGCGCTCCGCCCGCCCTCTGGATTACGTTTCGCGCCCGAGTTTCCACGACTCCGAGATTGACGTCCGATTTACGACGTTTCTATCCTACCTGCAAGTGTTTCGACTTTGATAAAACGTCGACACCGAGTGAACATAGCGAAAATTCGTTCGTTCTTGTGTCGTTTTTTATTCGAGGGATTTTTTTGGAGGTTATGTGGTCGATACTATAGTTTGTACGATTCAGGTAACTACTTAGAGTTTTATTTAAGAGCATTTGTTACAATTGAGTGGGAAAATTTATAGGATTTATTTCTTTTTTACATTAATAATTGTTTAAGCACATTTTGAACTTGCCGATAAATTATTATTTGTTCGATTACAAAATTAATACTTATAGGAAATGTAGTAATATATTCTTCGATTATGTTTGGGTCCATAGAAAGTGTCATAAAATTGTAGGTTAGAATATTCAGAGCCGTATCTGAAATTTCACACTGCTTCATTTTTTCCCCTATCCCTTTATCCAACTTGTGGTATCCGTCGTAAAATATGAAAGAAGTAAAACCTGTTACGTCTGAAGGAAATCTGTCATAAAACGACAAGGGCATAGGGTCCCATAAAAATGTTATTCCTAAAACATAAGAACCGTAAAAATTCAGCGAGTGTCTCTCGAGAACAGTCTTTTGTTATCCATCTACGAGGAACGTTGTTTCTTATCCCTCCTTGCAAACTCTTGGATCGAGTATTTGTTCCAGTTTCCAAAGTTTCGGAATTTTTTGAAGTTTTCGACTCGACCCCGAGAATTTCGAAATCGTATCGAATTATAGATCGAAATTCCAAGATTTTCGAGAGTGTTGAAATCTGGCAAGCTTCCAAGTGCAATATTTGACGATTTCACGTGAAATTCTAACTCACCCCTAGTTCTCCGATCGAACACGATCTTCCACGCATTGGAGACCGGAGACCACGGACTAGAAACCGGAAATTAGTCATGCTTAGGTATCTAAAACGACGATAGACGTCTTCGGATATCAGCTGCAGCATCCGCCGTTAATATCTTCCAATCGGTGGAACGAACGTTTCTTTCGGTTTCCTGTAATTTCGCCCGATTTTAACCGGATTACCGCGTCCAGGTAACATTGCTTAATGTCCCTTTGAGTCATCCTCCAGGGGACGTGACTCAACGCTATTG